CACGCACGCACGCACGCAAGCACGCAAGCACGCACACCCACGCACGCGCGTCCACACAACCGCACATGAACATATCAACGCGGAGCGACTCGAACGCATATTTTCAAGATTTTGACACAAATTGTTACACACTTTAAACACGATGTTCAATGATTTAGACACGGCGCTTAACACATTTATACACGATCTAGACACGACTTAGACAGTTTCGGTCAAACGCGGATAGACTTTTTAGACACGCCTAATATTTGGACACGATTTAGACACTCATGCACGGGGCCTGCGCGAGAATGCGATAGACACGCGGGTGTTTGGATAATGCCCGAATCGCCGAAATTATGCCTCCCGCTGCAGCGAGAGCGCGTTAGACACGGAACGCGTCTAAATTATTTAGACGCCGTATCCCAAGGAAATCCCCGGGAAATCTCCGGCGAATCCCGAGAACAGTAGGAGTCTTTTGGTTTGCAGCTATTTAATATACTTGGAAGTCCTGGACCCAGACCGTGGGAAACCCCTGGATGTTTTAAAAGGGCACGAGATGCCTGGAAACTCCCCAGATGTTCCTTATTCCAAAGAAATGATTCCTTCATTTCCCCCAGACTCGCGCATACAAAGACGATCGATCAGTGGTGGGTAGGCCATCCCACGGGGGGTCGACGCGCACATCGTCTTCGTGTGCTGGGGCGACGCCGACTCGCCAATGCGCTGGCCAGAGCGCGCCCCGCCAGATGTTCGGGGAGCAGCGGCATCGGTACCTTCCTGCACCCCGACGGGGACGCACCGCGACGAGCTGCGGCAGCGCCGCGCCGCGGCCACGGCGGCGCCGCTGCGCTGCCAGGCCCGCGCGCCCCCCGCGCGCCGCTGGCGCCCGAGGGTTGCGCGCCGCGCGGCGCTGGCGGCAAGGCGACGGCTCGGGCCGCGGCGGCGAGCTCGTCGGACGTCGGTCGTCGGTCGTCGGTCGTCCGTCGTCGGACGTCGGTCGTCGAATGTCGGTCGTCGTCGTCGTCGTCGTCGTCGTCGTCGTCGTCGTCGTCGTCGTCGTCGTCGTCGTCGTCGTCGTCGTCGTCGTCTTCGGATGTCGTCGGTCGTCGTCGGTCGTCGGTCGTCGGTCGTCGTCGTCGTCGGTCGTCGTCGGTCGTCGTCGGTCGGTCGTCGCCGTCGTGGTAGTCGTGATGGTGGTCGGTGTTCGGTTGTCAGTGGTCGGTGGTCGATGGCTGGTCGTCGATTGTTGTCGTCGTCGTGGTGGTCGTGGTCGTCGGTCGTCGTTTTCGGGTGTCGGGCGTCGCCGTCGGTCGTCGGTCGTCGGTCGTCGTTGTGGTCGTGGTCGTGGCCGTCGTGGTCGTGGTCGTCGTCGTCGTCGCCGTCTTCGTGGCCGTCGTCGGACGCAATAGTCGGTCGTCGGTTATCAAGGCGAGGTGGTGGGTCGTTCCCGTCCTCACGTGCCCTCTGTTGCTGCTCAATTCTGAGCGTGCACGAAACTCTACCCCTCCATCGCTCATCGTGCCGCCATCACCACAGCTACAGCCGCCGTGAGCACCGCCACCGCCGCCGCCGACGGGGGGGGGAGGGGGATGTAGAGATGAGAGAGAACGCGTTTCATGGGCGCTCGCCTTGGGAACATTCGGCGGCGCGTTTCGAACTGGCGGGTGGGCCCCCCCCCCCCCAACACTCGGCGCCGTCGATCAAAACCAGGGGGACTCCCCTTCCCCCCTCGCGAACCCCCCACCCCCCCTCCCAGGGGGGGTGTTCAACCTCCCCCCCATTGGCGCCGGCGCTTGCGGCCGCCAGCAGCGCCGACGGCGGGGACGCGGCAACGATGACCAGAGGCAGCCAAAGGGGAAGGTGGGGGGGGTTCAAACCCCCCCCCCGGGCGTTAATGGGGAGGAGGGGGGGGTTCAACCCCCCCCCCCTGGCGCCGGCGCCGGCGCTGGCGGCACAAGCAGCGCCAGCGCTGTCGCCGGCGACGGCGGGGACGCAGCGACGATTATCACCACTACCACCACCGCCACCAGTACCACCACAACCACCGCCTCAATCCACCACACCACCACCAACACACCACCACACCACCACACCACCACCACCACCACAACCACCGCCACAACTCACCATCACCACCAAAACCACTACCACAAGAACCCACCACCACTACCACCACCACCACCACCACAATCCACCACACCACCACCACCACCGACACAACCAACACCGCTACTAGCAGCACAAGCCACCGCCACCACCACAACCCACCACGCCACCACCAACACCACAACCAACACCACCACCAACACCACCACCACCACCACGTCCACAAACCACCGCCACCACCACAACCCACCACAACCACCACCACACCACCACCACCACAACCACCACCACCACCACCACCACCACCACAACTCACCATCACCACCAACACCAACACAAAAACCCACCACCACTATCACCCCCACCACAATCTACCACACCACCACCAGCACCGCCACAACCACCACCACTACTAGCAGCACAACCCACCGCCACCACCACAAACCACTACACCACCACCACTACCACCACCGCCAACCACCACCACCAGCACCACCTCCACTAACAAACGCCACCACCACAACCCACCACCACAACCAACACCACAACCACACCGCCACCAAACAACCACCACCACCACAACCCACCACCACCACCACCACAAACCACCACCACACCATCACCAAACCACCACCACCACCACCACCACCACCCATCACCACAGCCACCACCACCACCACCACCACCACAACAAACCACCACACCACCACCACCACAACCACCACCACCGCCACCACCACCACCACCACCACAACCCACCGGACCACCACTGTCGTCCTCGTCGACGCTCCCCGCCGCCGCCGCCCGCCGCCGCAGGGGCCGGCGCGGGCCCAGAAAAGGAAATCGTCCCCGTCGTCGCCGCCAGCCGCCGCCGACGCAAGCGCCAGCCCGAGGAGAGGGGAAGCATGGGAGGAAGGGAGGGGGAAGGGGGGAGAGGGGGGGGGGTTCGAAAACCCCCCCCTTCCGTCACGGAAAGGGAAGGGGGGTTCGAACCCCCCCCCCTTCCGTCACGCGCAGGGGAAGGGGGGGGGGTTCGAACCCTCCCCCCCCCTCCATCCGAAGGGGGGGGAGGGGGGTGCTCGGTTTCAACACCCCCCCCTCCAAGCGACCACAGAACGCGCTCTTTCAGAGATGACGGAACAAAAATTCTGGCATGAAAGAAGCGGGTCCCGAGGGAAACGGGTCCTGCCTCGGGGGGCTCTCCCCTAGGACCAGCTCTTCATGCTCAGTCGTGTCTTGAAGGTCCCAGGGCCCGTGGAGGGGCACTAGGAAGCGTGAAAACGACTGGAAACTCCAGGACCCAGCGAGGGGATGGAGAAGCAGGAGGTGGTGGTGGCCACGCTAGACTGCACAAACGAGCCCGCGGAGGGAAGGAGGAGGCGGAGGAGAAGGTGGAGGAGGGGGCGGACGGGGGGATGGGAAAGCGGAGGCGGGGGGGAGGGTGAGGCAGGGGGGAGCGCACTTAGCTGAGGAGGGGGGGACCAGAGAACAACCACGATGTATCAACGATGGTGCAAGACACCCTCCCGCCCCACGCTCGCCCCTTCATAATTCTCCATGGCCGTCCTTCTCACTGGAGGAGAAGTCTCCTTGGATGACGAGCACGCGATGGGCCTGCCAATCGGGCGAGAGACCCGTTTGATAAGGAACTGCATTGCAGATCCGGCGAATGGAAAGAAAGGGGCACGGTTAGGAAACATAGGTTTAACGAAAGGCCCAAAGAGAGCCTCATGTTCAGAAGGAGCCGCCCCCCCAAATCTGTGCAACCAAGCCCCTGGGCCCCTTTTTGAAAAGAACTCGCCTTCTAACCATGTAACTGTCATACCATTCTAGATTCATGGTGGTCAAGTAGAACAATAGTTTGGCGAGAGCCGCATTTTGAATATGTACTGGCCACCATCCCTGTAACGGTTGGAAGCGTTTGCGACGGGTGTCCGCAGCGCTATGGCGACAACCTCGTACCAGCATCCATGCGTGAAGCCGTTGCGAACGTTTGAAGCGAATGCGCACGTCGCTGAGGCGAAAACCCAATTCTGAAGAAAAGGACCTGACGTCCATTATTGTAGCAAGACTTCAGCACATAATGTGCGCAAGCCAAAAGAAAAAAACACTTTGAAAGGGGCATGGCCTCCAGACGTGTAGCCTTTGTACGATGTTCAATCTAATGCGCGCGGCGCTAAAACGAGAACCCACTCTGAAAAGTGAGAATGACACCGGCCTCCATCCGTATTAAGACGAGAGCCACCGCTGAAAAGGACCCCGCGGTCATGCGCGCAATGACAAGCTCAGGCTTCGGGATCACAACGTGCGTGGATGTGCTCAATCGAGACTCCCGGTGGGAAACAGCAACCAATACGATGAGGGCCGCAACATCTGCTGGCACCGCAGTGAGACAATTACACGCCAGTCGGAAGAAGCAGGTAAAAGCATGAAGTAGGCAGGCGGATTGAGTGGCCTGGGCCCAGGCCCCCCCCAGAGAACAACAAAACACGGCAAAAGCGTGCCGCGTCTTGAAGTAGGAAGGCGCTTGAAGTAGATTGGGATCTGTGACCTGGGGAGGGGGACTGGCTGGGGTGCACGGTTTCCCCCGGGGCCCGGGGCCGTGGGCGACCCGAGGAGGAGGAGGAGGAGGAGAGGAGGAGGGAGGAGGAGGAGGAGGAGGAGGAGCAGTAGGGGGAGGAGAGAGGAGGAGGAGGATAGGAGGAGGAGGAGGAGGAGAGGAGGAGGAGAGATAGGATCGGAGGCTGGAGGAGGAGGAGGAGGAGGAGGGGGAGGAGGAGGAGGAGGAGGAGGAGGGCAGCGGCGTGCATTTTTGAGAGGACGGGCGCCTCACGCGCACGGTGCCCACGCGTCTGCCCAGGGGGGCCCATGGCCCCCCCCCTCCCCCCACCGGCAGGCGCGCTACCGTCGGCCGGGGAGCGCTCCGCCGAGCCCGAGGGGCCGCCCTCGGCGGGCTCCGCCCGCTCCGCTCCCGCCCAGGGGGCGCCCCTCTCCTTGACGGCCTGCCAGACCACCCCAGCCCAACCCGAAGGCACGAATTTCGGGTTGGGGGGGTTAAGGGTTTTACCAGCCTGGAACACATCCCTATCCCTATGCTGGGCACCTCCTCATCACGACGCCAATCTTAGGGATTCCCTTATTTCTTGAGGGCGAATCCATAAGATTGTCATCGCCTTTTGGCGTGTCAATCTTAGGGATAGGGATACGTTCGAGGCTGGTAAACCAGACCACCCCAGCCCAACCCGAAGGCCCGAATTTCGGGTTGGGGGGGTTAGGGGTTCCACACGTGCTTGTTCGATGTTTGCCGACCCCCCCCCCGCTGGAAGTCGAGGGTAATTACATGGGGCCCCATCCCTCAGGGCCCAAATCCCCCCGTCGCGTTTCCTTTTCAAAATGAGAGCTGCTCTTCTTCCTGCGCTTAAGAAAAGCACTCCAGAGAAAACACCAACCAATGCATGGTTTGCGCTGAGGAGATCGACCGGAACCCGGGAGCCCGGGAACCCAGAACCCACCGAAATCGGCCCGGAACCAATAGCCGGGAATCCGGGAACCCGGAACCGGGAACCCGGGAACCCAGCCTGCTACCAAAATCGGCGGGAACGTTCGCCAAATCTTTCAACTTCTGCTAGGACCCCTTCAGTGCAAGCACTGATTGGGGAAAAGCACGGCGCGATCATGTCTGGATGGCTTTCGGGTCACAACTCGGGCCTCCAGCGGCCGTTCGGGACGATCTGGGCACCCTGGGAACGCCCTCGGCGAGGCGCAGCCGCTGGAGGCCATCCCGAGGCTGGAAAGCCGCCCAGGCCCAGCGAAAGCGCCCGAACCCCTCAGGGCCCCAATCTTTGAGAGCCGGCGCCCCCGCTGGCTACCCGGCGCGGCTGCCGGACAACCACGCCTGTCGGGGAGGCACTGCCGCAGGTCAATGCAAACCCAGGGTCAGTCAGGCTCTGCAGGATCCTGCAGGGTCCTGCGCGCCAGCCTTGGTCAGTGCACCCCTGGCTCTCCAGGACCCCGCCAGACCTGGCGCTCTGGCGGACCTCCGTATTCGCACGGGCACGCGCCCCTCTCAAGCCCCGAGCCTGGATCGCGGCGGCGTCCCCGGCCGCCACCGCAGCGTTGAGCTGCGCGAGGGCGGCGCGGTTTGCGGCCCACGCCGCGGCCGCCGCCGCCGCGGCCTGCTGCGGGGGCTGCGGCGCCATGGCTGCGGCCTGCAGCGCCGCAGGCGGCGGCAACATCGGCGGCGGGACAGCTCCGCCTGGGGGGGACGGAATGGCGCGGGAACCCTGAGATCCTGGCGTTGCAACTTTTCGCAACGGGCGTTCCTATGGGGGAGCCCAAACAGGCGAGAACGAGACAAAGTTCTCGGGTCACATCTCGGGCCTCTGGCGGCCGTTCGGGATGCTCCAGGCACCGCCCGAACGCTCTGGGCGAGGCGCAGCCGCAAGCCAGCATCCCTAAGCTGGAAAAGCGCAGGTAACCAGCGAAAGCGCCCGAACCCCTCGGGTTTTCATTTTTGCTGAACCGTGGCGACGAGAGCCATCCAGGACAAGCCACGACATCCGGCGCCCCGGTTTTTACGAGACGGGCCCTCGACCTCTCCACCACCCCGGGACAGTTTTGGCATCCCGTGTCGTTTTCTGACGTCCCCGAGGCCCAATGAGGGCCCAAAAGGGCCGCAAACGATGGAAAACCACCGACCCGACTCTTTCCGAGACGCCGGACGCTTGGGCCCAGGACGAGCCGCGGCATCGGCTCTGGACGCCCGGTAGGGGTACGGAGCAGCATGGGCACGATGCCCAACAACAAATGTCTTCCAGAACCGACAGCGGCCGCTGTTTGGCAAGCGGCTTTTTTCCTCCTCCTCCTCCTCCTCCTCCTCCTCCTCCTCCTCCTCCTCCTCCCCCTCCTCCCCCTCCTCCTCCCCCTCCTCCTCCCCCTCCTCCTCCTCCTCCTCCTCCTCCTCCTCCTCCTCCTCCTCCTCCTCCTCCTCCTCCTCCTCTTCTCTCAGATGGACAACTTCCGCGGCGACACCGACAGCGAGCCCGGTTCAAAGTAAACAGGACATGCCGTGGGTCTTTGTGCACTTTTCCCCGTACCCGTTCGGATCGTCCCGATCAGCATCTCAGATGCCTGAGAGCAGCGGCACCGGTCTCCTGCGAGCTTCCTTGGGGCTTCTTGGAGGCCTCATGGGGGCCTCCTTGGGCCTTTTGGGGGCCCTTGGCCTTTGGAGGCTTCTTCGGGGTCTCTTTGGCCGTTTCAGGACGCTCCCGGCCCGCCTGACGCCTTCGGAGGGTCGGCTCGGGGGCCTCTATACGTGGGCTGTCTTGGAGTTTTTGGGGCGTTTCGGCGCCGTCTTGGAGGCCATCTTGGGCCAGCAGCGGTATCAGCATCTTTCCCTCCGCCAACCGCCCGCGGCGCCGCTAGCGGCTGCCTCCGGCACGGCGCCAGACGCGGCCACGGCTGTGTGCTGCGGCAGGCAGGCCGCCGCCGGGGCCGCGCAGGGCGCCATAGACGCCCGCAGGCGCTGGAAGAACTCCTCGTACGCCTGCTGGGAGGAACAGCATCGAATATTTACGGATCACCGTCATCAGCGCCATCACCATGACCAACATCATCATCATCATCATCATCAGCATCATCATCATCATCATCATCATCATCATCATCATCATCATCATCATCATCATCATCATCAGCAGCAGCAGCAGCAGCAGCAGCAGCATCATCATCATCATCAACATCGCCACCACCAGCTTGATCATCATCATACCATCACCATCAGAATAAGCATCCTCAGCATCATCATCATCGGCATCATCATCATCGTCAAGACATCATCGCCATCGTCATAGCCATCGCCATCTTCATCGGCATCATCATCGCCATCATCAATCATCATAATCACGGTCATCATCTTCACCATCATCAGCATAGTCATCAAGTGCCTGGGCTCAGGCACCCCCTCTCATTCACACTTCAAACTTATCGTCAGGGACGCAAAGCGGAAGGGGCACAGCTTTCACGACTTCTTTCTACCAGAGGAACATGCCCCTGCAAGCGAAATTACAAAAGAACGGTTCCGGCGTTGCCATCCCCGGAAGATGTACGCAAGCGCTTTCGGCTCTCATCAACAGCGAAATAAGAACAGATATCAGTTGTAGCTGGGAGCAACACGTTGATGATTATCACTATGGGCCAAATAGTATTGAAAATCAATGCGTTGCGGGGCCATGGTCACAATGCGGATTAGATTGGGCACGTGACAAGCTGAAGCTCATTGGCCAACATGTTCGAGTCGCGGCAGAAAGAAAAGCCGCTCCACCATGGTCCAGTCCACTTGTGAACTGTTTTGGTTGATATTTCACCCTTACAGACGAGCATATAGCAAATATCGTAGACTTGGATATGAAGCACCAAATGCTGATTTGCGTGGAACGCGTACCTTTTCCTTGAGAGTGAGATGCGTAAAACATATATCACAGGGAATGCTATGACCTGGAAGCGGGTCAGTCACGTCTTATGTTCCTGTGGTAAACCATTCATCTCAACATGGGTCTGTTCTTCGCAACGCAAGGTGGCACCCAATGTATAACGCGGATGCGTGACGTTTCGCAGAAGTCAAGCGCCCGTGATTGTGCAGCAATCGGCTTGATGGAGAGTATGACGATGAGGACATCCAACTACTCGAGATCCCACGGACGTCACGAACGCCTTTTGGGGCTCCTCGCTTTCAACCGATACCGACGGCAACGCGACGATTCTGCGAAACCAGGAGGGGAAATTTGGAAGACAGCATCTCTTACGTCCAGCAACATGTTTTCAGGGCCCCGGGGGAGTTCTGTTCGCGAGCCCCGGCGTCGGCGCGCTACGAGGAGACCCACGGGCGGTCAAACTGCTCACGAGAGATACGGGCCAAGTATTGCAGGAGGCGCGGGACCGGTTTCTTGCCACAGGCGATGAGACAGCTTTGTGGTGCGTGGCCGACATACCCATGGACGACAACGACATTGAACAGCTTGACCTCGCCTTCCACAACTGCGTCGGCGACGCCGTCCACACTCTTACTTCAAATGGCACACATCAAGACGCTGGGGTTGAATCGAGCGTGAAAACTTTTACCATGAGAAGGCATCCTCAACAAAAGCATGCAGAAGCGCAACTACCTCATCAACTCTTCAAAACATGAGACAGTGGTGGCCTCATTCGGTCAGAACTCTCATTCCATGCGCCGCCGATTCCGTGACGTGCAACTTCTAGTTGCGGGCTGAGCACAGGATCGCGCAAAAAACCTGGGAGGAATTAGTCGTGCAAATGATACGCTCGTTAAAGAATTCCCGTGCCGTTTGGATGCGATAGATGCTGGATGTTGGGCCATTGGCCGATATTGGTATTACGAACGACCGCCGTACGTTGAACAAACACCGTCTTCCTGAGTCGCACTTTGGGCCTAGCGCTGTCAGGACTGGAAGCACATATCCCGACCCCAACACAGCTCGAGAAGATCCAGACTCCAGAGTCGTATTTTGGCTTATGCCGGGAAAGTGATGAGGGAGGACGCTAGTTTTTCTGATGGGTCACATATGGTCTCTACTTCGAACGATGCGATCTTTTGATGTTGGAGGATCGCGCCCCTCGAAATTGAATATCGAGCTCGCCATATCAAACGGTATCAGTCCTGGGTACGTGATCCAATAAGCATGCATCAGAATGGGGAGCGTCAACAGGTACTATGAGGGTGGGGGACAGGGGTCAGCTTTTTGAGTGTGTTTGTCCCTGGGCTAGGAGGCTTGTCAATGACATCGCTTCTCTCCAGGACCTGGGGGGCACTGGGTACGAGATGATCCAAGGCATTGACCGCACGCCCTTCAACCTGGTCACCTCCCCAGAAAAATTGAATGGTTTGCCCAGCTGGATCCCAATATGGTCGAGGCGAAATGGCTCGGAATAAGGTGTCCTTCCCCAGGCTACCGCACGTCGTCGCCTCACAGCAAGTTGACTGAGCCGCCTCAGGAAAGCCCCGAGTTGGCAGACTTTTAGATGCCAAGTAAAAAGTTCACCGAGAGCTTTGCACAGCAGACGACAGCGACGGGCGCTTTATCCGAATCAGCGCTTCGCCTGCCAGAGTTTGTTTCGAAAGCCAAAATTCGGCATATGAGCACGCCGCTCAGAGCCTCAGGACAGGAGCTTGTGTCCACTCCAGGAGTACAGCTTATCATGCCGATGCAGAATCAACATCAATGTGTCCGTTGTGTGAGGCTCCACAGGACTCGACGGACGCGCTACTGAAGTGTATTCGCTCAGACTTTAGTGGTGGAAATGGAGGCGGCGGCTGCTCCAGACTGGTACAGCCCCCCAGCGGGAAGACCCAAGGCGGACGGAGCAGGGCAGGGCTTCCAGGACACCAAATTGACCAAGCCGCAGGAGGAGGTTCTCGAGGACAAAGAAGAAGACGGAAGAGCACTGGCGGGCCTCATCACTATCCTGTGCTTCCTGGCGCTGCACAACAGCCGCGAGCTAGCGGAGCTTCTCGGCGCCAGCTCGACCTGCTGCTCGGCGACGCCAGCCGCAGGCGAGGTGACCATCTCAGCCAGCAGGCGGGGCAGGACTGCAACGGCAAGTGCAGGACGGAGGGCAGGGACCGTGGCCTGGGCCCGCCGTGGCCGCCCATGCTCCTCGGGCCTCTGCTCCTCCCGGTGAATCTCAAGCCCAAGACACTACCACTCCAGACCGAGCACACCCTCACTCGGCGGTGGACAAACCTCCGTTTGGTAAGCCTCCCTTTCGTGAAGACGGCCTGGGAACGAAACCAGAGGACCTGGATCCGCAGAAATGGCGGCCGCGAGGCCCTCTCGCGAACCGAAACCGGCCAATTCCTTCATCGGCAGGAGGTCGATCCACCTCCGACTCTCTCAGTATTGGAACGAACGGAGTGGGGAACGTGAGCAAAGAGGGAGCTCTCCGCGTGGCTCTGGAGCACGTGCGGTCCCTTCGTCTTCGGGGCTGCTGCTACGATGGGAGGCAGCAGACGGAGCCTCGAATGCACAAGCTGCAGCTCACGGTGGCGCCGGCGCAGCAGACCCCGAGCAGCAAGGACGGCGACAACAAGGAGCTGCCGAGTCTGCATGCGGCTCTCCGCGGGGCGGTCGAGCACCAGGGCGGGAGCGTTCAAGCCAGGCTCGGCGCCAGATGGCGCAATGGAGAGAGGTGCCGAGAAGCTACGGCTTGCCCACGGGGGGGGGTACAGAAGCAGGTGCACAAGAAAGGCGGCGGCATGGGCAAGGACATGGACATTGTGCCGGGATGATCGCCACAACAGGATCCGAAAAACGGTACGTAGAGATGCTTCGAAAGGGAGTTCTGAGTGACCAAGCCCTCACCAATCTTCAAGCTAAACCCTCCAGGCCTATTCTTGAACACAGTTCAGGAGCCCAATTTACGTTTCCCTGGTCTGAAACCCCTGTGGAACCCAGTATAGATATGCTCACGTTACTCCAAAGGGCCTCCCAGGTTCGGCGAATGGATGGTGATCTGCCCCTCTCCTCGGTTGAGTCCCCTTTCCCGTCCCCCATGCTTGCCCCGCCACCTCCCCCTTCTACTGCGTCAGGGCAGTGACCAAGCAGGAAGTGTTAGGATTGCGACCTCGTGACGCGCACCTAGAGCTCTCAGGGGATAAGGTGCCTCTGGAGGGCTATGGAGGGGCACGTTTTTCTCCATAGCGCGGTCTTTCTCAGAGCAGAGCCGCTGGCAGGCGCACTTCACAGCGTTCAACGGGCCAAATTCCAGATTGGCTGTCCATCTTCTCTAGCTGTGCTCAGCTTCCAGATCAGCAAGACATCGAACCATTGGCTCGTAAGTGCTCTTGTCTTGACTTGTCATCATCAGCAGCATTACCATCATCATCATCACCATCACCATCATCATCACCATCACCATCACCATCACCATCACCATCACCATCACCATCACCATCACCATCATCATCATCATCATCATCATCATCATCATCATCATCATCATCATCAGCATCATCATCATCATATCAGCATCATCCTCGTCAACAGCATCAACATTATCATCATCAGCATCATCAACATCATCACCATCACGGACAAAACTTCGTCATCACCATCACCATATCAAAATATTAGTATCGTCATCACTGCTACCACGAACGATCATTGACATCATCAACCTGACATCGGGCGTCGCGAACAGAAAAGAAACGCAGGTTTTTCATCGTGCTTGGCCTCTCGAGGCCCTTCTACCAGGCCTCGGTGCCGTCAAGAAATGCCTCGGGATGCAAAGCCAGTCCAAGGGAAATGAATCGAGAGGTCGGGGGCCCGTGTCTCGAACAAAATCGAAGCGCCAGATGCCTGGGGCTGCTCAACGGACCTATCTGAAGGGGCCCTGGGACACACAAATAAATACACACAATTAAAAAGATTCCCAATATTTTCCCATATTTTCTGGGTTTTTGTCTCCCCCCCCGATTCCCATATGTTCCCACTTTTTCTTCGGAATCCACGATTGATTGTGTCTGTGTGTTTCTCCCCTCCTGAGAATCGAAGCGCCAGATGCCTGGGGCTGCTCACCGGACCTCTCCCAGGGCGCGTGTGGACCAGAATGCCGGAGCGAGTCCCGCCGTGGCGGCGAGAGGCCCTGCAGTCCGACGTCGCAAACACTTGCAGCATCGCGAGAACTCACGACAGGAGCCCCAGACCCCTAGACCTATGTCGGGCCTGTCCCCCTACAGGGAAATTTCCGAAGAAAAATTAAAAGTATGTAGCACCCCGCAATTGCGGATAAGAGTGAGGGGGCGGGCGCGGGCAATGCGGGCGTCGTCGAGCCGGCGGACCTCGTGGCCCCCACCTTCCCTGTCGATGGCGCTCTTCTCCTCCTCCTCCTCCTCCTCCTCCTCCTCCTCCTCCTCTTCCTCGTCCTCGTCCTCGTCGTCATCGTCGTCGTCATCCTCCTCCTCCTCCACCTCGTCCTCCTCCTCCTCTTCTTCCTCGTCCTCCCTCTCCCCCCCTCGTCCTTCCATCGTCGTCCTCCCATTCTCGTCCACCGCCTCATCGGCCTCCATCATCGTCCTCCCATTGTCGTCCATCATCATCATCCTCCCCCTCCTCCCCCTCCTCCCCCTCCTCGTCCTCCTCCTCCCTCTCCTCCCCCTCCTCCCCCTCCTCGTCCTCCTGCTCCTCCTCCTCCTCCTCTTTCTCCACATTCTCCTTACATCCTCTCTTCTTTCGCGTCCTCCTCGTCCCCTGTTTACTCCTCCTGCCTCCCCCTCCTTTCCCAAGATAACGGCAACGCAATCCTTTTTTCCACTTTATGCTCCCCGACTTCTCTGATCAAGGCAACTCGCCAGGGCAAAGTTGCTGGACGGGCTGGTGTGGATGCGCGGGGCTTGAAGAGGTCATTGCGGGCTCAGACGGCATGCAAAAATCCACCGCCGCGCTTGTGCGGCATTGGTTTGTTCAGTGAACGTGGTTTGGGTCGCGGGTGGGTCGCGAGCTCTCCACATCCACTTGGAAGGAATGTAAAAGCAGCCCGCCGCAGGCGCCGAAAAATTTGGTTTGTACACTGAACGTGGAATGGGTCGCGGGTGGGCCGCGGGTTCTCCACCGGGAACGAATGCAAAAGATGCCCGCCGCAAGCGCCGAAAAGTTTGGTTTGTACCCTGAACGTGGTCGCGGGTGGGCCGCGGGCTCTCCACCTGAAACGAATGTAAAAAATGCTCGCCGCAAGCGCCGAAAAATGTGGTTTGTACCCTGAACGTGGTTTGCGTCGCAGGTTGGTCGCGGGGTGGGTCGCGGGCTCTCCACCTAGATAGAAGGAATGCAAAAAAAGCCCGCCGCAGGCGCCGAAAATGATGGTCTGTACCTTGAACGTGGTTTGGGTCGAAGGTGGGTCGCGGGTGGGTCGCGGGGTGGGTCGCGGGTGGGTCGCGGGTGGGTCGCGGGTGGGTCGCGGGTGGGTCGCGGGTGGGTCGCGGGGTGGGTCGCGGGGTGGGTCGCGGGGTGGGTCGCGGGTGGTGGATCGCGGGGTGGGTCGCGGGGTGGGTCGCGGGTGGGTCGCGGGTTGGGTTGCGGGTGGGACGACGACAACAAACAACAACAAATAACAACGAGAATCCGCACCGCGGAATCCCACTTCAGCCACGCACCCAGGGACAGTGAGTGACCGTTCGGCCCCCTCACTCTGACTAAAACTAAAAAAAATGCACCCAAAAGGCAAACAACTACTCAAAAAATAGTCACCGGACTATTTTTGGATTATTTTTGGGGTATTTTGTAAATTTGTCGTCGAAAATCCCCCTGTATGGGGGACAGGCCCGACTTAACCCTAGACCCTAGACCACGTCTTTCTGCAGCTCTGTCCGAGCCGTTTCGATCTCTGGGGGCCCCGCGGGGCCCGCTACAGGGCGAAGGCGCTCGGTGTGAAAAAATATGGTGCCGCTGGGCTCTCAGGAGACTGCTGTTTGTTATCCCTTCGTGATGGCGGGCGCGACCGTGGGGGGGGAGGCCAAGAGGGGGGTGTCCAAGAGGGGGGGGTGCAAATCATGACCGGCGGCATGTGCGCGGCCCAGCGGGGGGGCCAGGGACGTAATGAAGTAAGAAGAGGCGCCATAAGATCTGGGAAAATATCATGGCCCCCGCCATGAGATCCACCCCCCCCCTAATCATCACCCCCCTCTTTTCCGCCCACGAGTGGGGGGGGAGGGGGGGAGGGGGCCCGTCACATCGCGATCCGCGCCGGCGCCGTCTGGGAAGGCATGAGAATGGCTCCTTCAGAGAGGGCGCTGTCGCGAATCGTGACGTGACCAAGGGCGGGGAAAGGGGGGGGGGCTGGGGCTCGTCATGGTCGTTGTTGCGAAGCATCGAAAAATTGCTGGAGAGGAAGAGCAGTCCCAAGAAATTCCGAACCTTTCCCACCGGCCAGTTTTCATCGCGGGTCGTGTTTTCGACGGTCCTATAAGGCCCCGCGATGGCCCCAAGAGGCCGAAAACTGCCAGAAACTCTCGGTCGGAAACACCTTGCCCCCAGACCCCCAAGCGCGATGCTTTTTTCATGACGTGGACCCGCGGAAGCCTCGACCCATTCCCCCGGACCTGTGTTCCATCCTGCCTCGTGCTTCGCCAGCCACGCGGCCCAGTGAGGGCCTGCAGAATCCGAACATTGCCCAAAACAACCTCCGCCTCGATTTCTGTTCGGCGGAGGGGGAAGGCGAGGAGGGCGCGGCCGATGGGGGAGGAGGAGGAGGAGGAGGAGGAGGAGGAGGAGGAGGAGGAGAGGAGGAGGGAGGAGGAGGAGGGGGGGAGGAGGAGGTGGAGGAGGAGGAGGATCGGACGCCTGCGGGCTCGGCGCCGCCGCCGCGGCGGGGGCGGCCGCAGCTCCGGCTGTCGCCGCGGCCATGGGCCCGAGGGGCGCTGCCAGCGCTCCCTGCGGCGACGGCTGCCCTGCGGCTCCGGCCGCCGACGCGGCGGCCGCGGCCTGCGCGCCGGCGGCGGCGGCGGAGGCGTCGGGCGGCCCGGCGGCGGAGGGACCCTCGACGCCCTCGGTCGGCTCTTCCTCCTCGGGCGGTGCGGAAGACGGGCGATACGGAGCTGAGGCGAATGGCAGCACACGCCGTGCCACGAAGGGAGGAATGCTGGCGGGGGACCCCTCGGATGGGGGCAGGATGGCCCTCGGCCGGCTCTTGCTCCTCGGGCGGTGCGGAGGAGGACGACACGACGCTGAGACGAACGACAACGCAGGTCGTAACACGAAAAGAAGGCTGCTGGCGCAAACCCTCCCAGTTGACCTCTCGAGCCACCTTGGGCGGGCCCTTTGGGTGGGGACAGAGGCCTGGCCACATTATGGCTCGCTTTGGAGGTGCGAGCTGAACATTGGAAAACCAGGTATCGGAGGTCGGTGTGGGCTGGACGACCGCAGGGTGGGGGGAGGTGCGGGGAGAGTGGTGGGGGGGCAACGGAGGGGCAGCATCTGGAGTGGGGATGGGGGTGGAGCGAGAGACTGGAGAAGAGGATAATCGGAAAGAGAACCAGTAGGGAGAAAGAAGTGAAGAAGGAGGGGATGGAGGGCGAGGGGAGGGAGCATGAGGGAGAGGTGGAGGTGGAAATGGACCGGCAGCATCGGTACCAAGTCGTAGCGGTTGTTCCCTCCTCCTCCTCGTGGTCCGTCTATTCTTCCTTCGCGTCCTCCCTGCTCGGACCCAAGCCCGAAAAGTAGTGGTCCATCTGGCATGCCAGCATGAAAGTAGAGCTTACAAGACCGCAGTAGAGGTCAAACAACACTGCTAGCCTCGGCCACCCCTTCGGCTCCGGCTTCGGCGGCTACAGAGCAGCAAAGACACCGAATTACCTGCTCAATCTTCATCATCCATCTGCTCTTCCTCCTCCTCCTCCTCCTCCACCTCCTGCCACTCCTCCTGCCTCTTCTCCTGCCACTCCTCCTCCTCCTCCTCCTCCTCCTGCTCCTCCTCCTCCTGCTCCTCCTCCTCCTGCTCCTCCTTCTCGCTGCCAGCATGGTCGGCGTCGGAACTTCAACGGGAAAGCGTAACAAACGATCCTCCTTCTCCAAGCAATCCCTCCACGCCCTCTCACGTCCCAGTCCTTCTTCGGCCTGCGAGCGTGCAACCGCTCAAGGGCAGCCTTGTGCTTCTCCGACATGCCCTTGGCAGCGGATTAAGGGTGGGAGCTGTGGTGCAAAGAGGAATGCCACAGATGCATGCGTGGAGGCATCTTGCCACAATGAGTCGAGGGTCACATTGTCTGCTCGATCTTGGACCTCACGGGGAGACCCCAGAACTCCAATCGGTGCGTATGGTCGTCGGGCAAACAGAAACTCACCTGGGAGCACCTGCGGGCAGGTCAAGCTCATATTTGCTCTCTCCCCTCACGGCCTATCTTCCACGGGGGGCGGGACCCTTTTGAAGAAGACCCACGTCCCTGCTCACAGTCATCACACCTCAACCTCACGACCAAATGGATCAGAAGTTGGGGTGTATGGAACCTTCTGCGAAGCCGCCTCGACCAGGACATCTTAGCTCGTGTTCGTATCGTTCGTGACGTGCGGTGCAGCGGTCGAGTGCCCCATGTCCTGGCAGCGCATGGCAGGCACAAGTATGCCTACTATTTTAGGCAGGTGGCAGGCGGCAAGATATGGGTGTCCCCGGTTGTGCCTCGATGGCGGCACGGCGAGCAAGATTTGAACAGACAGCATGATACTGGCTACTGGCATGCTACCCGGGCCAAACAAAAACGAATGCATCAATACCAAAACGAAGCATACAGACAATGTTGTAATGAGACCAGTGGGCCGAACCTTTTTCAGCAGCATGACAGTATACGCAACACGTAAACATAAGTATCAGGCATCCGCTTAATTCAACAAGCGAGAAGCGAATGGTAGTCATGACGCGTTGTCTAGTACTAGCAGGACTTGCGTGTGGAGGACATGTGCGCAACTCTGATCACCCCATCCCTCCACCCTAGACTTCCTCATCGCATGCAAACCAGTCCCCCTTTCCGAGAAAAAGGCAATCCCCAGCAGGAGGGTTCAATTCCTGGCAGAGGGGTTCCATCCCCGGAAGCAAATTTCAATCCTTATGTGCTCAGCACTGATGTGGAGACTTGCTGTGGTACGCTACCTGGGCCTCCCGAGAGGACTCTTGGGCCTCCCGGGGGGACCCTTGGGCCTCCCGACGAGCCTCTTGGACCTCCCGAGGGGCCTCCTGGACCTCCCGAGAGGCCTCTTGGCCCTTCCGAGAGCCTCCCCCCGAAGCCTCTTGGCACCCTCGAGAGGCCCAAGAAGCCTCTCGCCGCCGTTCCCGGGTTGTGGGTCGGAGGCCGCTTGGTTGCCTGTTGGGGTCTTGTGGGAAGCCTGACGGGAGCCTCTTGGAGGCACTTGTGAGGTTTACTGGAGCTTGCAGGGCCCCCCACGTCGTCCGCGCACGCCCCCACGATGCCCTTGCCACGGGCGCAGATTGAATAATCGAAATCGAACATGAACGTGTCCGCCGCTAGGGCGAAGATGCATCCCGAGCCTGGGCAGCCTTGGACGATGCCGCTCAGGATCCAGAACATTAGGGGAAGCTGCGAGCAGAGTGCGCTGTAGCAGCAGACGCCTGAGAAGAGGAACGCCGTGAAGTCCACGAGGGGCAATGGCAGCAACATGGCACGAAATACTTTGAGAACCCAATCATGTGCGAGACTGGGGAAGGCCTGGCCGACATCGTAGCTGACCAGCACAGGTACTGCTAAGCACGCGTCATAAAATGTGGGATAGGTACGGCTGTGCACATCAGGTGCAAATACGTTGCTGCCGAAATTACGGGCGCTCGCGAAACCGCGCTGGATGTGATCTGTGGCACGAGAAAGGGCTTGACCTAGACGGCGAGAAGGCTACTGCTGTCACAATCTAGTTGTCCGCGCTTGTGAATCCCAGGGGCCCAGGATCTGGGGCCAGACGGGCAACTCCATGAAGGGCATATTCGGGTTTGTCCTCTTTTGGGAACGAACACCCACACAATATCGTTATATTACCATGGCCCGGGGTGCCCTTCAAGCTGCCACCAGAGACCATCAGAAAATATGTGCACCCACTTCAGAGGCCTGCCAAGCACCGTATGGGACAGCGCCAGGACCTGGGCCGGCATGTGTTTGTTTACGCATTTACATGTGCACGTCCTGGTACATCGGGGGGGAGGTCGCGGAGGTCGGAGGTATTCTGGATGCGGGAGAGGCACATGTCTGCGGTGTCGTTCTCTATCTGTCAAACTGTGAATACTTGCCCCAAATGTTGTGATATCATCAGCGAGATCTTGGAGGAGGAGGTGAGGAGCTCAGTATCCGTACGGAGCCCCACAAACCGCAGGGTCTGATCGAAAGGGGCCCACAGTCTACTGCGCCGAACGAATAGACGGAGTCGCTCGCGCACCTTCGCCTGAGAGGCCTGCAAAAAGGTACGTTGCAACTCCTTCCGAGTCCGCCGCTGTTTTTCCTCAGAGTCTGCGAACTGGAGTGCGTCTAGCATCTCGGCATAAAACGATAAAACGGGGGCAGCAAGGGGGAGACGGGAAGTGACAACATACAACTGGAGGCGCTCGCATGCGAGTTGATATCTCAAAAGACGCCGGAATAGAATAGCGTTTTGCCTCCATTCTGCTCCCGCAGCCGAACAAAGTAAAATCATGTTGTTGGCCGTCGATGTCGATCCCGTGGGAAACATAGCGCCGCGGGCAAATCCGGCAGTTTCCTTCAGCATCTCTTTGTATAGCGGATGGCTGATAGGCGGGGCCTTGAGGGAGAGGCCCAGGGATCCCAATATTCTTCCGGGAACTTCACGAAATCAGGGTGCTTGAATATGTCTTTATGTATGGCCTGGGACTCGGAGGGCTGAGGGGGACGACGCTGCACTACAATCTAGAGAGGGGCATGGTCAGACATCTTTTTCTGCTCCAAAGACTCTGGAAGGTCCTTGACCTTCGCGGACACATGCATCTGCGTGAGCAACCAGCTTGGTGCGGCTAGAAAAAAACCCTGTCTATCTTCAATGTGTGCTCGAATGCGCCATTGCAATGCGTACGGTCGTCTGTTTCGAGCTCCAGAGACTTCTGAAGGAAGGGGTACCACAGGGGACCTGAATTGTCGACACCATTATGTGAAGTACCTGGGAGCTTGAAGGCCCTGAGGAGGAATGACAGGACGAGGTGCTTCAGCTCCTAGATTGACATCACCCAGCGGAACCACATAGTGAGAATCCAGACGGTGACGTGCTATCTCTAGGTGGCGTAGAGTTTCTGCTGTAACTCGAGTTAAATGCCGCGCTGATAAACCGAAGCTGTGGATATTGAAGTGTTTGATGAGGATGGGCGTGTCGAGGCTCTGGCTGCGTCCTAGGTGACGTACAGTCCATAGCACACGCCCAGGAATGAGGACCTCTGACTTAACTGAACTATCTGCGCCTATCCATGTGCCGACCCTGTAAGAAGCAGGTCTCCGGGGGTGGTAGGCGCGCCAGGCGTTTTTCGATGTCAGGAATCCACAGTTTTCGGTTCTGCCGTCACGAGAAACACCGCGTTCAAATTTTTCTGCGTCCTAAAACCAGCAATTACGATTGACCACGACGTAGCAAACATGAAATGCCACGCCTGAAATCTAGCAAAACGTCCGCACGTGTCGAAAACTACCAGAAACTCAAATCTCGCCCGCGCACCACACGCGAGCGGCAAACCGCAGCTGGCGACCCAAATTATGAGCGAAAACGCCCGCAGACGGCGATCGCGCATGAAGCCCCTCATGCTTTTGTGCCACACAGAGAAAAAAACGCATCCGAACAACACCCGAGACACTGAGGAACCCAATGTCCCGAGATCCAGATGCCAAGAGCATCCGAGCGAGACGGCGCCGCGAAATGCAATCGACCGAAATCGAGGCCAACTCAAAACAACCACATGTTCCGCAAGCGGGGCCACGACTCGGGCCCGCAGCGTGCCCGAGTTGCGGGCGGGCCGCAACTTGGACCTGCTCACCGCCCTCCGCCCGCCCGGCGGCGGGCACTGACACAAGGAGGAGGAGGAGGAGTAGGAGGAGGAGGAGGAGGAGGAGGGAGGAGGAGGAGGAGGAGGAGGAGGAGGAGGAGGAGGAGGAGGAGAGGGAGGAAGCGAAGGAGGAGGAGGAGGCGGGAGGGGGAGGAGGAGGATGAACCCTCGGACCCTCGCGAGTCGCTCCAAGCAGGCGGAGTGAGGCGGGGGAAGCGCGGGCGAGGCGCGATTGCGCGTTTGCGCGCCGTCCGGGGCCCGCGGGGGCCGCGAGCGGCGCGATCGCGCGCTCGGCGCCTGTCGGCGCGCGAACGCGCGATCGCGGCTCTCCGCGCGCACCCCCGCCCCCCCCCGCCTCCCCCTGGCTACCCCTGACTACCCCCCGCTGACCCCCGGCTGCCCCCGGCTATCCCCCAGTCGCGCGCGGCCTCCTGAGCTCGTTCTGAAGATTCCCGAGGCCCTCCGAAAGTTTCCGAGGTCTCCCAAAGCCTTCCGTAGGATTTCCGATGCCTTGCGAAGGTTCCCGAAGCCCCCCGGGGCCTTCCGAAAGATTTTCGATGCCTTCCGAAGATTGCCGAGGCCTTCCGAAAGTTCCCGAGGCACCCCGAGGCATTGCGAAATATTCCGGAACCCTCCGAGCCCTCCAGAGCACGCGGCGGCGGCCACGGCGGCCCTCCTAGGCCCCCTCCGCCGCGACCACCGCCGCGTCGTAGGCCCTTCCGCCGAAACTGCACTCCCCTCCCACCGCCCCCACAACCCACTGCGCCAAAAAACGGGGAAGGGCTGTGACAGATAGCAAACACATGCAAAGTGTTGATATAAATGCCTTTTCTGTGAAATATGCGATCTACTGACATATACAGAACATATATAAGAGCGTCGCTAACATACAAGCGGCTAGCGAAAGTGCGGCGCTAACCTAAAGCCCCAAAAGGATTTGGCGCTAACCTAACCGAATTTGCGGTGCTACCCTAACCGAACGTGCGGCTCTAATCGAACGGTATTAGATGAAAAAGGGGCGCCGGTTTGCGACAAACTGGCGATACCATATGAAAACGGTACCATCTGAAAATTGGCGTGATTTACTCGACTACCCCAACTAACCCCCTTTATCCCCCCACCCTCCGTTTGTTCCATCCTATTCGGCGCCTATCACCCCCCAGTGACCTGTTTCTTACAGCCGGCCCCACCTCCTCCTCTTCCTTCTCCTCCTCCTCCTCCTCCTCCTCCTCCTCGTCCTCGTCCTCCTTCTCCTCCTCCTCGTCCTCCTCCTCCTCCTGTTCCTCCCTGTCCTCCTCTCCTCCTCCTCCTCCTCCTCCTCCTCCTCCTCCTCCTCCTCCTCCTCCTCCTCCTCCTCCTCCTCCTCCGCCTCGACCCTACAACACCCAGGGGGCGCCGCGCGCGCGCGCCGATGGCGCCCCAGCCTTGGCGCCCCTGCCGGGCCGTTCGCAGGCGCCGCCGGGGGCGTCCTCGCCCGGGCCGTCCGCCGCCGCGGGCGCGCCGTCCTGGGAGCGCGTCGGCGGACGACGGCGGCGGCGACGAACGACGACGACGGACGACAGACGTCGGACGACGACGTGCGGTCGACGGGCGACGGGCGACGGGCGACGGGCGACGACGACGACGACGACGACGACGACGACGACGACGCGAGCGCAGGCTGTCTTGAAAACGGGCGTTGCAAAACAGCGTGTTGCTTGTATGTTTTCGGGGCAGTCATGTCTGACATCCCTGCGACACCTGAGGTTTCGAAAAATTGTGGCAGGCGCGCGTGACGACGCGCGCGCGTGCGCACGAGTCCCATTGTTTTGCATGGGAATATTGCGACAGCACGCGCGCAAAGTCGTTTTAGCGATTTTGACATGCGCGCGCGGGGGGGGGGCGTTTGGCAGCATGCTGTGACAATGTTGAAAACCGCTAGGTTTTTTTGGCGAATTCGCAGAATCGTGTTGCGAAACCATGCACTTGTAATGTGTGTATATATATACACATATACATACATACGTATATTCGCGGCCCTCGACAATGTCATCCTTACGGAACCTTCGCGTTTTGAGCGAAATCGGCATGCGCGCGCCGACGCGCGCGTGTGCATTCCGTTTTTTTTTTTTTTTTTTTTTTTTTGTTGTTTTTTTTTGTTTTCAAAAAGACTCTTGACAACTGATGAATTGGGATAAACGAGCGCCCACCGCATTGCATTTCAAAAGGGACGAGGGGGGGCAACTCCAGCCTGGCTGGAAACTTACGAATTCAAAAAGAAAATAAAGAAAGAGGCACACTCATATGTAAACTGCATTGCGCGAGGCCGGGTCGATAAGTCCGAGTGTTACAGAGGTCGAATATACTCTCTTTTCAAAAAAATAAGAAACTACATGGTGCAAACAAATCCTGTTCGCAGTGAGTTGTCAACTCCAGCGCTCGCGCAATACTCCCACCTTCCCACCTGCAACTTGGCGAATGAAGCCCATGCGGCGGCGCTTGCGATGAGTGCTTGGCGTTTGCCGGTGCATCTCTGCGGCCGCGCTAGCCTGCGCATGCTTGCGCGCGCAGCGGCCAGCTCGTTAGGCGCGACCGACGCGGCCGCAGTGGCGCTTCCCGCTGGGCACTTCCCAGCGGGCACTTCAGTGCGAATCGGTGACTTGGGCGGGCGCGGTATCATGGCGAACCGACAACTGGCGAGGACGACGGCAAGGCCCATGACAACGCCGACTACGATCACGCCCACCTATAACAATGACGATGTCCTCGCGTCGGCGATGGAGATTATTGGATGAATTCGACATGCGCGCGCGGCCGACGCGTGCGAGTGGCCCGCGCGGCATTATTTGCCACGGATCGCGCCCCCCCCCCCCCCCAGCGCGCTCAAGGGCGCCCGAATGAGTTCGACATGCGGCGCGAGAGGCCCGTTTGGCAGAATTTCGGAACACGCGGGAAAAACCGATGGTTCTCTTACGAGCCAGCAAGAGCGCGAGCGGAAAACGTTTTGAACACTGATGTTGCGAAACCGCGTGCTTGTAGATGTTGCCGGGGCACGGTCCTTGCAACGGCGCGCGCATGGGCATTCGGACGCTTGCGACGCGCTCGATTCGCAACAACGCGGGCGCAAACTTGTTCGACTCTGGTTGGCAAAACCATGTGTGTTATATGTGTGCGGTGCACTCGTCTTTGAAATCCTTGCGGAACCGACGGTTGTTTTCAAAATTGCTGCATGCGCGCGCGACGACGCGCGCGCGCTTTGCGCGATGCGTTGACAGCGCGCGCACAAGGGCGCCTGGGCGATTTCGACGCGCGCGTGTGCGAGAAGCCAATTTGGAAGCATGTTATGAAAATGTTGAAAAGCCGATGGTTCTCGGTAGGATGCGCAAGAGCACTGGCGCAAACTTGTTTTGAACATTCTGGATGTTACACCATGTGTTTGTAATGTGTTGACGTGGCGCTCGTCTTTAGGAAACATTACGGCACCGAAAAGCTGTTCAATGATTTCGGCATGCGCGCGCGACGCGCGCGCGTGAACTTCGCCTCATTTTACGCAAGGGATTCTTGACAACTGATGATTTATGATGGGCGAGAACGCGCGCATCGCATCTGTTGCAGAGGATGGCGGGGGGGGGTCGATGCTGCGTGGGCTGGGACGGTATGAAGGGACAGAACCGCGAATACATCGCAGCACGAAACAGCGAACGGTCATGTCTGGGGGGGCGATCTGAATTGTTTCATGGGAGGAACATTGTTGGTGCGCCAACAGTTTTCACACATGATGAAGCAAAATCTACGCCCCCGCACACATCCCATCCACCCGCCCGCAACTTGCCATCCACCCGCCCGCAACTTGATTTACAATGCCCATGCGGCGGCGATTGCGATGAGTGCTTGGCGTTGGCTGGTGCATCTCTGCGGCCGCGCTAGCCCGCGCATGGTGGCGCGCGCAGCGGCCAGCTCGTTCGGCGCGACCGACGCGGCCGCGGTGGCGCTGATTGCGGGGCATTTCTCAGAAGGCACTTCAGTGTGAGTCGGTGATTTGGGCGGGCGCGGTGTCATGGCGACGCCACGGATATGATAATAGCGGTTCTGTCAATAGCGATGATGGTGGCGATTGTGGCGATGACGAAGCGAAGGCCAATGACGGCGCCGACTTTGAACACGCCCGCCGATGGCGATGACGATGCCCTCGCGTCGGCAATGACGGGTATTGAGGGAGTTCGGCATGCGCGCGCGGCCGACGCGCGCGAGAGGCCCGCGCGGTACCATTTGACACGGATCGTGCCCCCTAAGCACGGCATGCGGCGCAGTGACGAATGAGTTCGGCATCCGTCGCGGTGGCGCCCGTTTGGCAGAATGTACTGGCCACGTTGAAAGACCGACTGCTTTCCTAAGAATCCGCAAGACCGCGAGCGCAGGATCCTTTTTTGAAAGCTGATGTTGCACAGCCACGTGTTTTGTATGATTTCAGGGCATTCGCCTTTGACAGTCTTACGAATCCTACAGTTGCTGAAGGATTCCAGCATGCGCGCGCGACGTCGCTGGCGCGCGTGCGCTTCGCTTTGTTCTGGTCAAAGGATTATTGCCACAACACGCGCGCAAGGGCGTCCGAACGATTTCGACACGCGCCCGCGAGAGGCCCGTTCGGTATCATATCATGGAAACCATTGTTTTTTATGGAAAAATGACGGCTGCCTTGAAATTTCGCAAGACTGTGGGCGCAGATTTTGTTTGGAAGCCCTTGTTGCGAGACCATGCGTTTTCGTTAGATGTGCTCGTTACTTCGACTTTGGATTCCGTTCAAACCTTGGGCTGTGGAGCGAGGTGACTACGCGCGCGCGACGACGCGCGCGGGTGCACTCCGTCCACTCTATTGCGAAGGGTTCGTTGGAACCTGCTGATTGCTGATCGAAGAGAAGGCGCGCATAATAGTTGATGCTGAAGATGGGGGGGGTCGACCTCCGGCCAACCCGGGATGGTGTGAATTCATATTTAAGACGGACGATCGGGCAGAACCACATGCAAATTGCAATGCGAAAGCGTGGGCCGTTAAGTCGAGGGAGGGGGAAATCCTAATTCTACTGTGGAAAAGAGAAGCTAGGCGGCGACGGGGAGGCGAGGCGAGCACGGAGCCGCCAGACCACCAGCCAGCCCCGGACGACGGGAGGCGACGAGGCGGCAATGGGGCGGCGACGGCGAACACGGAGCCGCCAGACCACCAGCCAGGCCCGGACGACGGGCGTCGACGAAACGGCGACGGCGAACACGCAGCCGTCAGACCACCAGCCAGGCCCAGACGACGTGCGGCGACGAAGCGGCGACGGGGCGGCGACGGGAGCACGCAGCCGTCAGACCGCGAGCCAGGCCCAGTTCTTTAGAAGAGAAGCGAGAACCCCTAAGTGCAAGCATTGCTTGGGGAACAAAGTCACCGCACGCGTCCCAAAATGCGCGGCATCCCTGGGACTTGTCGGCGAACAGCAGCGACGTCAACGACGAACGACGACACAATCATCGACCTCGACCTCGACGACGACGACGACGACGACAACGACGACGACGACGAACGATGGCTTCGCCAACGGCGTCAACGACGACGACGAAGAGTTCGACGACCACGATGACGACGACAGGACTGATGAATACGGACATCGACGGCGGTGCCGTCGCCCCCCCTATCCGACCCGGGATTTCCGGCCTCACTCCTTCTCCCCACCGCTCACTCCTCCCTTCTCCTCCTCCTCCTGCTCCTCCTCCTGCTCCTCCTCCTCCTGCTCCTCCTCCTCTTCGTTCCTATCCCTCCTCCTTCTGCTCCTCCTCCTCTTCCTCCTCTCCCTTCTCCTCCTGCTGCTCGTCCTCGCTCCTCCTCCTCCTTCTGCTCACTCCTCGCTCCTCACTCCTCTCTCCTCACTTCTCTCTCTCTCTCTCTTTCCTCCTCCTCCTCCTCCTCCTACTCCTCCTCCTCGCCCCCCTCTTCTGCGGCTCCTACCGAGGACGGGTTGGGTATCCCCGAGGTGCTCGATAGGTATCGCGTGGCGCGACCGTACTGCTCTACTGCCCCCAGGAGGCGCTTGAATTATGTCGGGTAGGGAGGCGCCGAGAGCGGGAGGCCCAGCTCCGGACGACCAGGAACGATGGGCCTGAAGACATTAAGTTAATGTCGGAATTCGATAAACTCGACAGACTTCTGTCTAAGCGCCCAATGGCCAATGCCCAATGCCCTTCTCCTCCTGCGCATCACTCCTTCTCGCTGATCATCGCTCCTCCTCAGACCTCAATGCCTCACTCCTGCTCCTCACTCCTCTCTCTCCTCTCTCCTCACTCCTCACTCCCCCTCCTCCAGCTCCTCCTCCCACTCGCTCCTGCTCACTCCTCACTCCTCACACCTCACTCCTCACTTCTCACCCCTGACTCCTCACTTCGAACCCTCTCCTCCTCCTCCTCTGCCAAAATCCTCCTTCTCGTCGCCTGCGCCTCTTCGTCCTCCTCCTCATCATCTCCTCCTTCTTCTCATCCTCTGCCTCCTCCTCCTCGTCCTCCTAGCTCCTCACTCCTCACTCGTCGTCATCGTCCTCACTCTTCCTCCTTTTCATCTTCTCCTCCTCCTCCTACTCCTCTTCGTTCTCGCCTTCTTCCTCGTCGTCATCGTCGTCGTCCTCCTCCTCCTAAAAGGGACTGTGGCATAGCCAGGCCTTGGCAGTGTCGGCCGCACTGGGCGACCCAACAGAAGGCGCGGGCTTCTGCGCGCCCTTCTTCCGGCGCTTCTTCCGGCCAAACTCGTCGACGTCCTCGCGCCCAGAGAGGCCGGATCGTTTGCGTGGGGGGGGGGGCCCTTGCGCCAAGAGGTCTCTCGCGCGTCCCCGCCGCATCTACTCCCTCCACAGCTCGACCCTGCCTGCCGAGCGCACCGGCGTGGCGAACACCCATGCTGCCCCTCCTCCTCCTCCTCCTCCTCCTCCTCCTCCTCCTCTTCTCCTCTCCTCCTCCTCCTCCTCCTCCTCCTCCTCCTCCTCCTGAAGAGCGCCCCTCTCCCCGAAGATTCCCTCGCCCCCCCTGTCCCCGTGCCTGCCCCCCTCTCCGGAGCGGGCCTCCGGAGCACCCCGAAGGCCCTGGGCGGCTCCCAGGAAGTCCCCGAAGGACTCCTCCTCCTCCTCCTCCTCCTCCTCCTCCTCCTCCTCCTCCTCCTCCTCCCGGAGCGGGCCTCCAGAGAACCCCGAAGGCCCTGGACGGCTCCCAGGCAGTCCCCGGAGGTGCCCTGATGCCATCCCCCGACGCCTCCGAAGCCCAAGAGAACACCCAGCATCTGTATGCCGTGGTGCTCCCCCCCCCTCCGGGGGGGACAGGGCAGCGGACCCGAGGAAGACGGCCGCTGGAGCCGAGGAGGCATCTCTCGCGGCAGGGACTCCATCCTGACGGGGGAGAGGAGGAGGAGGAGGAGGAGGAGGAGGAGGAGGAGGAGGAGGGAGGAGGAGGAGGAGGAGAGGAGGGGAGAGGAGGGGGAGAGGAGGAGGAGGAGGAGGAGGAGAGAGGAGGAGAGGAGGAGGAGGAGGAGGAGGAGGAGGAGGAGGAGGAGGAGGAGGAGGAGCAGCAGCAGCAGGAGGAGGGTGACGACGGCGACGACGACGACGATAGGGCATGTTGGGGACGAGGGCGATGGGCAAGCAGAGGCAAGGGCAGGAGATGACAGTGGATGAGGAGGAGGAAGAAGAGGAGGAGCAAGCACGCAAGAACTCTCGAATGCTGTCCATTGGCTTCTCTGCCCGTGACAGAACAATAACATCTGAGTGGCGGCAAGGCTGCGACTTTCGTCACTAGCGAGTGCTAGTGGGGATGAGAGGAGGACTAGTTTAAACCCAAGATTCATCAACGATGCTTCAATCAACCCTCCCTTCAGACTCACTTTTCATCGGCTACTATAAAGTTGTATCTTCACTGTGGGAGCCCCGTTGGAAGACAACCGTCTGGAAATCTTCATCCGTGACAAAGCTCCACTCCTGGGACTTCACCGCCGCGAATG